GTAGGTACTACATTGCAACTACACTCTCTCACTCTCTCTCTCTCTCTCTCGAAAGTTTGTACTTGTACTGATTCAGTGCTTTGGGAGCTTGGTTTGTTGCCAAGTTGTTCCCTGTTTTCCCTTCAATCACCACCTTTTTACAAAGCTTGGTCACCTTGGTCAGCCCTTCAACCTAGGTCAGACGAGGTCGAAATCGGAAAAACACATCGAGGGACCCACCTCTTTAAGAGGGTAGAGGAGGATGCCCAAGCACGTGGCACCTCTTTAGCAGCTGGGCTTTTGCGTCCTAACTTCGTGAGTGTTGATGTCACCATATGTCACCTCTTCAAGATGAGATTGAGTGTGATTTCCCAAGTGACATCTCCTGCCATGTGCCCAGCGAATTTGCCATCGGCGCCCGCGCGTTTTCTTCTGAGGCCTTGCAACGCTACTTCGAGGAGCTGGAGATCTCGAGTGGCTTCTTGGAAGGAACTGCGGAGGATGCGGGTCGCTCAACAAACCTGGAAGCTGGGTGTCAGGTGCAACCCACCCGCCCCTTCCTTGGCCCTGCACGCCCCTGCAGCTCCGCCGCAGCTGCTTCCCCCGCCTGAACCTATCGTTCCTGTTCGTTCCCCACCTTGCTGTTGCCCCACTCCATCTTCAGGTGCTCAAGCACTCACGCCGGCCGAGCTCCACGAAGTGTTCCAGGCGATCTTCGGACAGGGACTGCGGCTTTTTGGGTGGGTCAAAACACATCTTGTCATGACTTGATTTGGTCTGTTTGGGGACCGGAACGTACCGGATTCATCCGGAATCGCATTTGACTCATATGACCAACATTGTTTCGAAGCTTTTGGGCGGAAGTCCATCACACGTTCGGGTTGATTTGATGTATTTTGTGGAGTTCTGAGGGTAGATCTGTTTCCACCGTCATATAGTCATATGTCATGTCTGTCCAAACGAGGGAGACTGCTCCAAAAGCAGCCAGTCCACAGTCCACAGCCAGCCAACATGTGGGCCATGGGGGCACCAAGTGACATCATGCAACAAGATTCTTATATATTATATATTGTTGTTTTTGTGTCACATGTGGCTGGAAGCTGGAAACCATTGGGCACCCTTTGCATTGGGAGAAAGAACAGTTGTTTGAGTCACCCTCCCACATGTCCGTAGAAGATGAGGAGAAATCACCAAACACGTCGCGTTAAAACTGATGCTTGCGAGTTCCACAGCGATGTACAGATGTGCTTTTGCGCCTCAAAATCTATTGAATATATTGTCATTGTCTTGTTGGTGTGAATATCGCCCGAGTTATTCATTGAAATTTATCGAAGAACAAAATTGAAAGTGCATACTATCTGTATATAGTGCATTTCACATTCCCATCAAGAACAGTCGCAAGCAAACCCAGCACGTGGACGGAACGGACCACAACTGTGTTTATTCACAGATAGTTCTCTCAAAACCATGAACTAATCTTGGGATGTGCTGCAGTCCCACTTAGTGTTGAGGTGATTTGGCATCCAGAAATTGTTTGAAATCACCTCATGTTTGCCACAAACAGTTTGAATTGCTTGAGGTCCCTCAGCACGATCCACGGGGTTCTTGTTTTCTTCGTCGCACGTGGTTCGCGACCAACCGGAAAGAACGTCCCGACTCGGGACAATCTTCCGTATAGGTGACGGAAATTCCTCCGGATTTGGAAGAGCTCTTGGAGGACTTTTTTGACGGTTGAAACAGCTCCCAGGGGCGGAGGAGGTGGGAACAGCATGGAACAGTTGGTGTTTTCGTTCGAAGTCGTCGCAGATGGTTTTACAGTTTTTTTGCGTCTTGAAGGTTTCTTTGAGTTGTGGAGAGTTATGGGAAATTCCGCTCGGAAGGCAATCGACTGGGGTTTTACAATGTTTTACATGAACAACCAGCGGCCGTAGGCCCACCATTCGAGGCTCAACATTCAAACATTTAAACCGCACCAGATCAAATACGAATCAGTAGATAAACTTAAACAATACAAACCAAATGCCACCGCGCAATCAACGACGTCCTTGGGCCACCCGCACACCCCGAAACTGGTCGTTCGTGGCACTGCTGTCCTTCACAGCTCCGCCCCAGGATGTGGTTCCAGAGGAAGTGATCAGGTTCAAGCACTCTCACATCGCCGCTTTGCTGGATGAGGCCCTCAACAGGCCTTCAACGGTCGGTTGGTTGTTTGGCACTTGGCAGGTCGTGGCCGAGGTAGGTAGCAGATCGGTATCAACCTACATGTGTCCCAAACAGATGGGAGTTCCGTTGGGGAATTTTCGAGGGAAGGCGTGACTTGCACCTTTTTCAGATCTTTTTAGATCCAAGAATGACTTGTTGGCAGCTTGATGTGGTTTGTGACTGCGATTCGCAAACCCGCTTGCCAAAAGGGGTGGCTACAGTGACGCCGCTAGTACATGAATTCCAAGTAGTCAGCCTTTGTAGGCCTTTGTCATTTTTCCAGCCATGCTGTATTAGATCCATGATCCACTGCTGCAGTTACAAAGAAAGCATCCTTGAATGTCCAGCCACTTCCACTCACTTGTGTCATGCTCGGAGCAGGCGTAAGCATATGCAGGAGGCGTGGCCGCCCCTGTGTTGATGTCGGCCCGTGTTTTTGGCCCGGCTCAGTCTGGGGAACAGGGGAAGGCATTGGGGCATCGACTCCATCGACCTAACCAGCTCCCAAAAGCCCGAACAACGTCAGAGAAACAGAACCGATCTTGCACGAATGAACTGCTCGCTCCACTGTCACCGGTCGTTCCAAAAAAGGACCGTTTGGCCACCGGGGGGTTGGTCCAACCGCTGAGCACCGCAACGAGTTCGGCGCCACAGGAGTTGTGCTGGTCCGTCTTCCGAGACTTCGATCTGAGCCTCGGCCGAGACTTGGATCGTTCGACGGAGCAGAGGATTGGCCCTGTAAAGAGGATCGGTTTGAGGTAACTTGAAGCAGGTAAGTGTAACTCCTTTGCCACTCCAAGTAGGAGGTCACATGCTGGGCGGAGGGAGAACACATAGACTTAGAGATGTGTGACACATAGCACTCCCGGTGACGCAGTAAGACGCACGGTCCTCACGGTCGACGATTCAGGACCGGTGACGGCACCATCTCCCAGGAGAATTTGAAGCAACTGCTCCAAAAGCCGGAGGACGGGTGAGTTCGGCCATTCAGCATCATGGCACGTCTCTATTTCCGAGCTGAAGTTCCTGGGATTTGCTAGGTTTGCCAAACCTCCGCTAGGTGTTTGGCTTTCTGCCTCTCGCCTTCATTTTTGTTGCACTGTTGCCAACATGTTCATTTCCTTTGTGTTATCCGTCACTTTGATTTGTCAAGCATGATTAATATATATATATAATATTGCGTGGAATATTGTTCATTCTGTGATGATAAGTTAGTTTACTTGAGTCAGAACCAGATTTTCATACAATCGATGCTGGCAACAGAATTTAAAGGAATCGCACAGACCACCCGGCACCACACAGCGGCTTCCTTCTGCCGGCGTGCGGCTCAGCGGCGTTTCGACCGGCAGGTGGAAAGTGCCTTTGGTCCGCAACAAGGAGGCGAAGCCCTGGAGGAGGTGGTCAGCAACAGCGATGCTGTCATCCACTTCCAGGATTCGTTCTTGAAGGGAGTTGATGAAGTGATGAGAATGGATTCGTTATAAGACTTCTATTGATTCTTGCTTCCTTGTGGTTTGAACTTGGTGGTTGGCCAGAGGATTGCTAAGCATGAGCTAAGGGGAGCTTGGGAGCTTGTCTCTTGTGGTTCGGTGGTTCGGTGGTTCCAGCTTATTGGTTCTGTGTGGCGGACCTCAACCTCCGAGCATGTCCAACTTGGCCAGCTGATCATAGCTGATCATCACCCAATCTCCAACCCGTGGGAAGAAACATGATGCGTTCTGCTTTTCTTTTGGGGCACCTCTTTATGGAGTGGACTATCCACCAACATGCTCCAGGAACCTCCCCAACATGGTGAGGGTGTGATGGTGTTCTTTGTGGGAAAGATGTTCACTCGCCTCCATGAAATCCGTCCTTTCTCAACATCAGGCTTTCTGTCCTTTCACCCATGTGGCGACTCAATGGCTTGCTCCGGAGGAGTTTGTGCAGATGATGCAGGAGGGAGTCACGAGCCTGGCAAACAGTTGAGAAAGCTTCAGGACTGCGCTGCCAGAGAACTTGAGGAAGTTCTTTCGATCGCGAGTGTGCCGTTGCACCTGGAGTGGCCCTGTCTAGAGCCGTTCGTTCTTTTTTGACCGTCTCGATGATGCTCCAAAAGGGTTTGCCTAGTGGCCTAGAAGGGATTCAGGCTACCAGTAGTATTGACATGTATTGACAGTATTGATATTGAAACGTCCCATTTTGTAACGTAAAGATCCCAGCTCTTTTTAGACGTTCTATCAACAGGATGGGCTATGAGCCCCGAGTGTATGTTGTTTAGTTTTCACTACTGGGGTTCAGCTCAGCTACTCTTTGAACGACTTGGAGTATCAAACTGATTGAAAAGGTTGCCAGTACAATCTCACCAGCAGCAACGTTGAATCCAAATAGTCAAATGGGCGAAAAGTGCCACCAAGGCCATTATAGAAAGCGGTCATTGCTTTCAGCTCCACAATCTGCTTTCAGCGTCAGGAGACATCAAGCAGAACTCGCTCCAAATGTTGGAACTCGCTCCGAGTGGTTGGTCTCACTTGGACGACTTGTACAAATGCCTTTCGACCGGTTAGTCTCACCCAGTGCAGACCCGAATATCGGGTTGTTTAGATTAATTGAACAAGAAAGAGACATCGCTGATCCAATCGAACTCACACCTTTCTTTGTTTCTTTCTTTCTTGGAGAAGGTTCAACACACTTCTTGTCATGCACGACATTGACCAAGAAACATTTCAACGTCTAAAGATGGATTTCGATGTCCACCCAGATGTCCTCGTATGCCCTTGTAAACATCTCAACATCTCGTATTCCCTTTATCCAAGTCAAATGAATGGTTGACCAATCGCCAGGGAAGGCGTGAGTGCACGTCACACGTCCCCAGCTATGCTGGTTTGGCTCTCTTCAATCCAGGTGCCACGTTGTTTTCCTGGTGGACTGTTGAACGATGGAAACCATAAAACTGGGTCACTGGGGCAGGGAGAAATCGTGGCGGCGTGGCTGCCAATTTCGAGCAGGGATACGGTCTATGTCGCAAGTGTGATCCATTTGCATCCGTTTTCCACCGTGGGGAATGCGCCGGATAAACTCATGTCACCTGGGGATCGCTTTCTTGGACGGTACACTGACCATGTGTCAGGCTGCTGATCTGTGTGTCAGGCCCCCAAGCCCTTAGTTATGGCTGTTCAGAGTAATTACAGGAGCAACACTACCATAGGATCAGGCTGTTAGTTTGTGCTATGTATCAATTCCACGCTGCCTCTGCAGGCAGTAGGCCTTAAATATTCTTTTCGCGACCTGGCCCTTCGTCGAAAACAACGGCGATTTAGAAGACGGACGTCCTCTGTGGAACCTCGTCGCGATTTTCGCCGCACAGAGTCGCGTTGGGATGACGGGTTCACGGTGAACGGAGTGAAAATGACTGAAGACAGCGAGGGTCTTTGCCAGAGTCTCATGGACTCGAAGTCCGGATGTCTTGATGGATGGCAGGACACCACGAGCACGAAGCAACTGGTGGTTGTTTTTTGTCCTGGTGGCCGGGGGCCTTAGTTCGCCTTGGGGGTTCTTCCACTCGGTCTTGGGGTCAAAAAGAAACATCAAGAAACATGTGCCCTGAAGACATGCTGTTTGCACAGCAAAGTGCTAATAAGATCTAATAAGACAATGACGCGTTTGAACAAGCAAGCAAGACTGACATGAAATATCATTTCGTGGCTGCAGCTGCGTGAGATCAAAACAATATATAAAGCGTTTTTGAGCTGGATTTAAGAATAGTTATTCTTTGAGCGCTTTCCCCCTCCATCCAGATGATTGATCCTGTTTGACTCCTCCTCAGGACACGATTCGACGGTGAGCGCTCCACAGAGCCGTTTGAGGCTCAAACGAGCCATTTGCCGACTCATGGGATGCTACAGTTCAAAGGCCAGGGATGGATGGCTTCGACTTCGACTGGGATGTGGTCTATTCTCATTTGCAGTTGTATCAATTCTAATCTAATGCCTCCCTTTGTTACCTTGGGCGCTAGAGCTGCAGCCCAGAGTTTCTGTGTATTTTTTTGGGGTGATCTCATTTATGTTGCCTCATTGTAGGAGGCCTAGATCAGGACAGCGTTTAGATCGATTTAGTAAAACCTTCTATCCCACTACATGGGGAATTACAACATCTTTCAGCAGTTAGGATTTCTCCTGATCAAAAAACAGATTGTGGTGACAAACTTTTTGTTTGCAGAGTAGAAGTGAAGACGTACGTGGCATATGGTTGCTTTCTGAAGAAATACTCAAATAGCCACACCACATGACATCCCTTGGGCAAACCTTTTTTGGTTGTTCTTTTGATCTGAGCCGCACCACATGTATGCTCTTCTTTCTTAAACAGCCGCATATCAGCAGTCATAGTTCTGCATCTCTTCTCGCCAAAACAAAGCGACATCCAAGGCGACTGTGCATCCGCTGAGCAGCCCAGATGAAGCGTCGTCAGGCAACGTGCAGGCCGCGCATGAGCTGCAAATAACTCATGGAAGAGGGTCAGCATGGGATCTTGCAAACTTCCATCCACTCCCTGAAACCGAAGTGGATGGAGCACTAAATTCCTTTCATCTCCTTTCTCCTTGGTCTGCATGTTCCACGGTCATCCGATTTCTCAGGGACCCAAAGACCATCTATTTCATTTCGATTGTTCCACGGTCGAGTTCCGATCTCTCATGTCTTCGGTTCAACCGAAGTGGGTCTTCCGATTCGTCTCCGTTTTTTCTCCACCTTCGTCGGGCGTTCGGTCTCCACGAGTCGGCTCCTCCACGTCGGGCGTCTTCCGCGTGCTCGGCGTGCGCGGCTTACCGCGGCGCGCGGCGCGGGGCGCGCGGTGCGGCGGGGCTCGCCTCGGTGGCCCAGGCACAATTAGTCGGTGGGAAGCCCCAGAAAGGTGAGCTGAATGGCATCCAACTAACGGGAGAACGGAGACAGGGGAAATACCGAGACTGGTTCCCCAGTGGCACTTTTTGTCATTTTTGTCTTCGCCTCATCTATCTATACAGAGTTAAAATTGTAGAAAGAATACCTTCGGCCTTGTAGAATAAATTACTCAGACTGGTCTCTCTTTCAAGGACGGTCTAAGCCTTTAAGCACTCTCTGTCTAAGCGCCCTTTGGGATTGGTTCACCCCAGCTAAGCCCGAGGCTCCCGTCTTCGAACTTCGGCCGCCGAAAGGAGCGAGAGGCGGAGCTTCGCCACATGGGAGCGAAGCGGGGGAGGTATGGATTTTGGATTGTTCAACGGTACAACGAGTTTGAACATGAAAGAACCGAGTCTGAACGAGTCTGAGCAACAACCACTATATAGCATATTATATATGTATTTTCTCAAAGATCACATTTATATTCAACCATACAGTAGATCAGCTTTGTGTGTATAGAAGAATACAGAAACCTTCGGAAGCCTTCTGTTAGAGAAGCAACAGGTCCAGCTGAGCTGATTTTGGTAGGAAGGAGCTGCAAGGTTGTTAGATGGTCGCAGCTTTCCTGGTGCACGTTGGAAGGTGAGACCCCAAATGGTTTTGGATCTTTGCCCGACCCTGAAACTTGCTGGTCCAAAGTAGCATAGGATTTTGTATTTTGTTGCACTAGGAATAGGAACAATCCTAATTCCTTTGCGCTCGAAACTCTTGAAGCGTCCACCGCCGGTTTCGGATGCCCTTATGTTTTTTCAGCCGCGAGCTTTCGCAGGGAGCTTCCCTCTGCTGACCAGAAGGTGCATGAGGACATGAGTGGAAAGTTCCGAAGTGAAAGAGACAGAAGCAGATTGCATTTCACGCACTTTTGTTTAAGTTCTTCAAACGAAGGGCTCATTGGCACAGAATCTATCCTTAGCCTGGTTGTAATATGGTCTTACACACCAGGAAGTATTTTCTAACCACCCTTGACCGGTAGATGTACCTGAAGGGTCAGGATAGCCAGCTAGAGTCAACTCTGGACCGCCCCAGGAACAAGCCTCACATTGGCAAACCTCCTATCAGAGAAAGACTTTTGCAGTGCTCGACACCTTGCATATTACTTTGAAAGATCGTCCAGCTGTGACAGCTGATACTGGCGACATCACATACCATGGAAACATTCGAGAAGGCGCAGCAAGATGCGTCATCTCCTTTCCTGGGAAGTATCCATCCGGATGGGACGCACTCATCAAAGAGCATCATGACGGCAGCGTTGGCTGCGTTTTTCTGTGCACCCCGGAAGATGGCCTTGGAAAACATGCGCAAGACCCTGATGCCGAAGAGGGCACTTGCTACTGCAAAGCCATCTATGGAGAGCGAGGCTGGAAGGAATTTGGCTACCTCAAGGTTCTAAGGTGGCCTTACACGAAGGAAAAGATGCTGAAGGAGCAGGAGAAAGCAGCAGCAATGGGTATAGTCGTTGTTGGAGAAGATGCTAGCCCAGAGGAACGCCAAAAGGCTGAACAAGAAGCTGAGCAGAAGTACGAGGAGAATCAGAGAAGAGCACCTTGGGGCTGTTTCTGGTTTAAAGTTTGGATGGG